TTTGATAAATTATGTCCAATTCCTATATGGAAGAAAAAGAATAAAAGATCAAAATGATTAAAATTTTTAATGTAAATATACTCATAATCCACTAGTAAAACAATGATGGATTATAATTCAAATTCAAAAATTATTTCATGATGTATTTTGAATGTCTGTTGATATTACATTAAAGGGTTTCCACTCAATTTTAGAAGCAAATTTCCTGACTTTCCCATGTTTTCCAGGAAAATTTCAACAAATTTTCAGATTATATTTTGACTAGGCACTGTAATATTTCATTAGAAATATTTATTTTTTTTTTATAAAATGCACAATTAAACTTTTCAGTAGAAAATTTGTTAAATGATACTTATTGTAAAAAATTAAATTTCATGAAATGAAGCTCTGATAAGTAGATTTCATAATACATAAATTATTGATAGAAGCCATGTTTTGCATGAAAACCAAAAAAAGCTTTAATAAAGCATAGTTTATTCGAGTTAGATTAGTCATATAGTTAGCAATCTTATATTTTACTTGTGAAACTTGTTACTTGTAAAAACCAATATATATTTATGCAAACATATATATGTAAATTTAATATTTAATAAACATAAAAACAAAAACTTTAATTAAAATTAGTTAGTTACACCAAATTTTATTCGAGTGTATGGTTGCCTAAGAAACCAAATATAAAAACATATAAAATTATAAAGTTTGCAAATTTTCCCTAATTAAAAATATTTTACATTGTCTTCTCTGAATGTGATACATTTGCCCTCAAATAAAGGTGCTATGATGTGCCCCTTTAAAGAAAATTCAAAGTGCCCTTTTGTGACCGAAAGCGTCACTGCCCTTTTTATTTCTAGGGAGAACTCTGCAGTAAATATGCATGTATCAACCATTCTTTTAAAATTTTAGAGTATGTCACAATATTTACATTCAAAATAATGTAAGACATATTTTAAACTTTAAAATGTTTACTTACTTCTATAGATATTTGATCAATTTTATTCAACACATAAATACATGGGATGTAGACCCTGTTTCCTTCAATAACATCAATAAGTTCATCAGAAGTACAATCGCCTTTTAAAACAACATCTGCATTGTGAGCTCTGTATTCTGATAAAATAGTTTTAACTGTCTCCAAATCCAACTCACTTTGAGGCACCTAAAGGAGAGATTAAAAAAAAAAGAATATACAGTCAATTAACCAGTCAAGATATCTTACAGGATTTACTCTTTTAAAAAAAAAGGGCATTTTTGTTTTTAAAAAAAACGCCATTAATCCTGCCTATTTGAATTAATGTTTATCCCAGCACCTTATTCAATGCAATTTAAATCAATCAATTAAAAGAATAAAGTAATTAGTTCAATAAGTTAAAAACTTGATAGTTGAGGACTGTAAATAAAGTAATGGCAAATTGCTCCTGGAATATACATATATTTTTTACTGAACGTACAAGCAAAACTACTTTATATTTCTTCAGTGTACTTAATGACTAGCAAAGTTTTGTACCTCTCTCATGATAGGTACTTTATTTATGCCGAGCTAGAGCTGCACAATTTGCTATTGGCAATGGCCGGGGAAACATCCTTGACAATGATTCCAAGACATGTCATTGCAATTTTGCTTTGGTAGCTGGATGAATTGTGTGCAAAGTTGAACACTTTCCACAATAATATCTCTTTGAAAGGTTTAAATATTTTAAATGTTTAGAAATAAATGGAAATATGTGATAAAGTTATTAAATAAAAAAATATACGGTTGCATGTTAGTTTAAACTAAAATCTATTTTGTTAAAATGTTAGTATTTTTGTGTTGTATTAAATGTTTTTTTTTCAGCATAAAACATTTTTAAATTGTTGCATAAACTTTAGAAAAAGAAATTGGCAAAATATCAAGAATTTCTAAATGGAAATTAAAAAATTATGAAAACAAGAACAAATAAAAACTAAATGAATAACATATTTTGAACGAAATAAAAATGAAAAAGTATAGTTTTACCATGGTTTGAAGATTAATTCCACCTTTGTCTTTTTTTCTTAAAACCATTTGAGGCAGCTCTTTATTCAGCCTGATTCCAAAACCTTCTAATTCATGTTCAATAAGTTTTTTGTGAAGTAATGGTTTCAAGACATCCAATACGATAAAGATTAAACTGCAGGTACGTGCCACTGAAATACATAGACCAAAACTATTAGTTGATACAATAATAAACAATATTAAAGAATGGAAAACAGAAACAATAATAGGTAGGATACATGAAGCATAAAAATGACAATCACTATTTTCAAATATTTTAGAAATTCTGAGGGGGGGAAAAACAAACATAATTCCAAAAAGATTTATAAACAAATTTTTTAAGATTACTAAACATCCTATACATCAGGTGTTCTGAAAATGACTAAGGAATTCAAAAATCAATATAAGAAAAACAGAAAGAAATAAAAAGACACATTTTGCTAATTTCTGCTTAAATAAACCAGAGAATTATTAAAGTTTGTCAACAGATGTCACTGCTAATTAAGAAAAACTATTAAAATCTTTTTTAATAACTATAATTTGCAGCAACCATAGTCTGAGGATAAAATTAACAGACCTTGGTACAA